GCCTTCTTGACCGGAGTCTTTTTTGCCTTTGGAGGCTTGGCCTTGGTGGCTGGCGCTTTCTTCGCCTTGGCCGGGGACTTCGTCGGCTTGGCCGCTTTGGGTTTGACAGCGGACGCGGTCTTGGCTTTCTTGGCGGCCGGTTCGGAGGAGGACTTGGCTTTCTTGGGCGCGGACTTCCTCTTTTTGCCGGGCGTTCCCGGGGCGGTTTTTTTGGCTGCCGGCTTCTTCTTGGGCACCGCTTTCTTCACGGCCTTGGCTTCGGCTGCCAATTTGAAATGCCCGGAAGCACCGGATCCGTTGGTCTGCACCAGCGTACCCTTGGCGACGGCGGCCTTCAGGAATTTCCTGATGAACGGAGCCAATTTGGCAGCGTCCACCTTGTAGTTGGCGGCCAAGTATTTCTTGATGGCGGGCAACGACGATCCCTTTTTCTCCTTCAGGTTCTTGATGGCCGACGTGACCATGACGGCCGTGNTGCCTTTGCCTTTGGCTTTGTATGACGGCCTGTGGCCTATTTAGAGTTCCAGGCGTTAGCCTTTAATCTCTTGTCTGATGTATTTGCTTGAATATTTGTTCACGTTGTTGCTAGAAAAATAGTTTAGTTAATTATTTTATTCGATTAGTTTTTGTAGGTGGGGGTATTTTGAGTTTGACATTTTATAAAAGAAAATACTTATCATAAAATCTGTTGCATCGGCTAGTGATAGAATTTTTGCAGAGTTCCTGAGCGTTTCATTTGAGGTGAGGTAATGCGTTCCGGTAATCATGCGGATTGTCAGGTTTTGGACCGCTTCTAAGTTCTTCCAGTTTGATTTGCTGATGTGTGGGCTCCATGCTATTGACGCGTACAGAAGTATGGGTTTTATATAGATTGAGTAGATTTGCAGTCTGGATTTCAGCGGAACGGTAGATTTTTCGTTTATGATAGGATAAAGTGCTGCTTTCACTCCTCTGGCTTTCTGTATTGTTTTTTGTATGTGCTTGTTCATTTTCAAGTGGGTATCGAGTGTCACTCCTAGGTATTTTATTTCGTCTTTCCATGCTATCGGTATGTCTCTTATTTTCAGTTTTCTGGTTATTTTGTTACTCCTGACGCCAAATACTATTGCTTCGGTTTTTTCAATGTTTAATTTTAATCTCCATTTTTCGGTCCATGGCACTGCGAGGTTGATTTGGCGTTGGAGTTGGACGATTGCGAAATTTTTATTTTGGTGTCCGGTGTAGAACATTGTGTCGTCTGCAAATATCGCCGTTTTCGCTTGTGTTGTTGTCGGTATGTCGTTGATGTATTGTACGTATAGTAGTGGCGATATGCAGGACCCTTGTGGTACTCCGGCTTCTATGTTCCTGGGCGTGGATAGTTGGTCGGCTACTCGGACCTGAAAGGAACGTTCGGTTAGAAATGATTTTATAAGTTTTACCAAGTGTATTGGTAGTCTTGTGGTTGCACTTAGCTTGTGTATGAGGGCTTCGTGCCACACGCGGTCGAAGGCTTTCTCCATGTCCAGGAATACAGCCGCTGTGTATTTGTTGTCGTTTCTGTTGGATTTGATGTTTTGTAGCAGGCTGGCGAGCTGGGTGACAGTTGAGTGGCCTTCTCTAAACGCGTGTTGTTCTTCACGTGGTTTGACGTAGGTTTTCAGTCTGGTCAGTACGGTTTTTTCAAAAACTTTTGACAGTGTTGGTAGAAGCGATATCGGTCGGTGGTTTTCAGGTTTGGCGTGACTTTTCCCTGGTTTCGGAATCATGATAACAACTGCTCTTTTCCACTGCGATGGAAAATGGCCAGTTCTGATGCTTGCTGTGAAGATGTGCGAAAGTTGCGTGATGACGTTGTTCGGTAGGTTTTTTAACGCTACGTTTGATATGTTGTCGTTTCCTGGCGCTTTTCCGTTTGGCAGTTTTTTAATTATTTCCTTTATTTCTCTCGGCGTTATGTAGTCGGGTGGCAGTGGATGGTCTTGGTTTGTTTCCTTGATTGTATTTGTCACTTCTGGTAAGTCTTCTCCGGGGTTGTTTTTGAACTGGTCGGCCATGGTGTCGGCGAAGAGTTTCGCTTTGCCGGCTGCGTCGAAGATCTTGTGTCCCGATTCGGTGTGGAGAGGTGTGTTTGCTGGTTTCTTGTTTAGTAGTTTTCGGTTGATTTTGTACAGCGATTTCTCCTTGAAACTCAACTTACTGGTGAATTTGTCCCATTCTTCTTGTCTGTGTTGCGTGAGCAGTTCTTTCACGTGTTTTATTTGTTTGTTGTAGAGTCTCTTCGTGGTCGGGTCTCTCGTTAGTTGCCATAGTTTACGGAGTTGTCGTTTTGTTTCTATTTCCAGCAGGATATCGTCGCTCAGAGGTGGTTGTGTTAGTATGGGTTTTGGGTCATATGCCGTGTTCGTTAGCTCTTCTTGGATCGCGTTTGTTATTGTTTTGACGGCTTCATCGATTTCTACCGGTGTTTTTACGCGGTGGATTTTGATTTTCTGTAAGTTTACGTTAAATTTCTTCCAGTTATTCTTCTTTTTAGTCGATTGGCTTGGCGGGAGTTTCGGAATCGGCGTGTGANGATTGGCTTGGCGGGAATTTCGGAATCGGCGTGTGGATATCTATTTGCACTGGGTTGTGGTCTGACGAGAGGTCGTTGTGGTTGGTGATTGAATATTGAAGTGAGTGAAGATTTATCAGCGCGATGTCTAGTACGTCCGGTTTATGTTTTTTGTTGTGCGGGTAATAAGTTTGTGAGTCCGGTGCGACGACTGTGTAGTTGTTGGTATCTGCGTGTTTCTGTAGTAATTTGCCCGAAGTGTTTGCCAGTCTGCTGTTCCAGCTTGGGTTTTTGGAGTTCAGGTCCCCTGCGATGAGAAAGGGGCCANTTCATCGATTTCTACCGGTGTTTTTACGCGGTGGATTTTGATTTTCTGTAAGTTTACGTTAAATTTCTTCCAGTTATTCTTCTTTTTAGTCGATTGGCTTGGCGGGAATTTCGGAATCGGCGTGTGGATATCTATTTGCACTGGGTTGTGGTCTGACGAGAGGTCGTTGTGGTTGGTGATTGAATATTGAAGTGAGTGAAGATTTATCAGCGCGATGTCTAGTACGTCCGGTTTATGTTTTTTGTTGTGCGGGTAATAAGTTGGTGAGTCCGGTGCGACGACTGTGTAGTTGTTGGTATCTGCGTGTTTCTGTAGTAATTTGCCCGAAGTGTTTGCTAGTCTGCTGTTCCAGCTTGGGTTTTTGGAGTTCAGGTCCCCTGCGATGAGAAAGGGGCCGTCGTGACTGCACAGTGTGTCCAGATCGCTCTGCTGTAGTTTGGTTGCTGGACTTTTGTAGACGGCTGTGATTTGTGTGGTTTTGTCGTTCAGTTTGACCAAGATGGTTGTTGAGTCCAGTTGAGTGTGCAGCGTGATTTGCTGGTGTGCGATGTTTTGGCGGACTAGTATCGCTGTTCCTCCATGCGCTGGTGCGTTCGGGTTTTTCGGGTGGTCTGTACTGTACGTGTTGTAGTTCGGAATTTTCAATTTGTACTTTGCGTCTGATCGGGTTTCACTAAGTAGGATAATGTCTATTTTGTGTTCGCGTATGAAATTTCTGAGTTCCTCTGTTTTTTGTTTGATGCCGTTGCAGTTCCAAAAAATGATTTTGAGGCTATTCATTTTTTGGCATAGACTCGATTATTCTCATTACTGTGGTGATGATTGCGTCTTTTGATTTTGCGTCTTCGCATATTTGAGCTGTTTTCAGGAGGTCCATTATTATTGTCAAAATTTCTGCGACTTGTAACACAGGCTGGTCCTTTTTCTGTTTGATGGCTTCGGCATACGTCCGTGTCGATGAATGGTCAGGTACCTGCGGTGGCGTAGGTGCTTGCGGTATAGGTCGCTGGGCTGGTACCTGCGGTGGCGCAGGTATTTGCGGTGTGTGTTTCTGATCGGGTATCGCTGGTTTTGCCTTTGCCTGTTTTTCCTTGTTGGTGTTTATGTAATAAGGACATCCTCTGTAGTTGGCGGTATGCTGTCCTTGGCAGTTACAGCATGTTGGTGTCGTTTCTTTTTGTTTTGTGCAATCTTTGCTGTGGTGGTCCTTGCCGCATTTAACACATCTCGGCGGGTGTCCACATTGTAACGAGGAGTGTCCGAATCGTTGGCATGCGTAGCATTGTGCCGGTCCTGATGATTTGTAAGGCTCGATTTTTACTCTGATGTAGAAGATGTCGGTTACTTCAAATATTTCTTTGACGTTGTCTGTTCTTTTTAGTGACACCATGTGGATGGGAATTCTTTTGCCGTCTTTAAGAAATGGCCTGATGTGTTCTGCTTCGTATCCAGCGGCTTTAAGTTCCTCCTTGAGCTCATCGGTGGTGACGTCCAGTGGCAGTCCTTTGATTACTATTTTTAAATGTTTGTCCTGCGGGAGCGCGAAAGTGTGAAATGTGGCTTGGGGCTTGTTTTCCGTCAGGAACATCTGGACAGTTCTGAATGTGTATTCATCCGGGCAATTAATTTGTATTTGTCCTGGTGTTGACGTTGTTTTGGCTGTAACTTGGTCTAGTCCGGGTATTTTAAACATTAATTTGGCGATTGATCTCCAAGTGTGTCCTGGTTGTACCTGTAAAAAGATGGGTGGAATGCGTTTTGTGTTGCTTACTGGCTTGAAGTTTGAGGGTTGTGGGTCCGTTGTTCTTGACGTTGCATTCGATGCTGTCGACATTATCGAATCTGTTGTGGATTCGGTGTCTGACATGGCGGCGTTTGGGTCTGGTATAGCGGTTTTCTTTGCCGGTGGTGGTGTTCGTGAGTACGGTGACTCACGTGGTGGCGGTGTCTTCCTCTTCTTCCCTCCACGGGAATGACCCATTTCGCAAGGGCCGGCGATGTTTTTTTGCCTTAACAACCGTTCCTTTCTCTGAGCCTTGAGTAAGGCTGGTTCGGATTGTTTAAGGTTTTTGATTAAACTTAACACTAACTTACAAACTAACTTATTACTAACTTAATCTAGTTGTAAAATAAACTGTAAATAAATTAAATAAAATAAATAACTAACCAGGTCAAGCCTAGGTCGTTATTACCTGGTTTCTCCTGCGGGCGAGTGGCAGCGACGAATCCGCAACCTGAGGACGCGCCCGATTCCCCGAGCAAGGGAAACTGCACTCGTGTCGATGTTTCGTAGCCCCGTAGAGCCCGATCACACCGACACTGTAGTGCAGCGAAATGGGATATTTTGGCCCCTGACAAAGCTTAATTTTAACAGTATAAAAAAAATAATGATAATAACAGTATATAATAAATATATTCAATAAATAATAATAGTATACAAGAAAAATATAGTAAATTACATTCATTAATTACACTTTTTTTTTAAATGATGACAATAACATTAGCCAAAATAAAATACAAAACAAAAACATCAATCATCGTAATAATAATAATAATAACACATAACGTAGATTTTTATTTTTCATAATTACAAAAATTAACTAAACATTTATTTCTGATACAAAAATTGTTTTCTTCTCTTATTCGGTTATAATTTTTTTAATTCGGTCAAAACCAACAATAATACTAAAGGGTTTACCACTAATTTGTTCCCCAGGTATATCAGTAACTACATACCTATCATATCTTAATACTTTGCTTATGATATAAGGTCTTTTATACTTAGGTTTCCAATTTTGTACTAGTTCCGGTAGATGAGGGGTCCTATCTCACTAAAACTAATTTTTCATTTTCGAATTTCTCAGGTGTTCTCAATCTATTGCATATTTTTGCTCGTTCTCTCTCTCTATGTTTTCAAAAGTTTTTAGCTGGGTCCTCATGTACATTGTGCCCATTCCCTCGTTTAGATCCTCTACTTCCTTAGTTTTAGTTTTAGTTATTATCGAGGTGGACATAATGCCCATGCACTTAGACCTGTTGGTCCATTGTGCGCACCTCATACGTAATTGTCTTGATTCAGTTTACCCACCTAAGTGTTATCACCAAAGTGTTAATACATTACCAACCATAAAGTCACCTCAAAAGATGACCTAAGAGTCCTATCTTTCTAACGAAATTAAGTATCTCTCTGGGTTTTAGGTTTTTAATATCCTCTTTTTCAGGAAATGGTTTATTCAAGTAGTTTGATCTTAGTGTAGACAAGGCTTCACATTCGCACATGATGTGAAATGAGTCTTCCTCTTCTACTCCACACTTCCTGCATAATGGTGATTCCGATACCCCCATTGCGTTATGATGTTTAAGCAGGTGACCATGTCCACCAGGTACNGTGACCATGTCCTGTCAGTAGACCAGTCAGGGTGCTTATTTGATGTCTAGTCATGCTATTAAGATCACCCAGCAATAAACCAGGGGTCTTGATAAACATTTTAGATTGTCTAGGTACTACCAAGTACTTCCAGATTTTCCTGTGTTGTTCTCTGCACCAATTCTTGGGTAACGCTTTGAGCGATTGCTCAGTGAGCCCTACCACTGGTTCTGGTCCAACATAGGTGTTCTCTGCTCCTTTCCTGGCTAGAAAGTCAGCATTCTCATTTCCAGTGACACCGTTGTGTCCCGGTACCCACGCTAGTGTAACTTTGTTGAACCTCGATAGTGATTCTAAAGTTTCCCTGCATTCGAGGACCAGCTTTGAATTCACCTGATCGTTACAGAGTGCCTTCAAAGCCGTTTGACTATCACTTAAGATAGTTATCTTCCTATTTTTGTATACCAGCAGGTTCTGAGCCCCTACCAGTATCGCCATCATCTCTGCTTGGAAAACAGAGGGTGTTGTGCCCAATGACATACTGACATTTATTCGTGGCTTTAAACCCCAAATTCCAGCTCCTACCTTTCCTGATTTTTTGGATCCATCTGTATATATCACAAATACTCCTTTTTCAGTCAGGTGGTTAATATTCCATTCTCTACGTGTAGTGATCTCCACTTTGTGGGGAATGTTATTCTTAATAACCGGTTCGATATAGTACAAGGGGTATTCCAAAAAGCCCTGGTCTATCTCTTTCCTCTACTTCCTTAGTTAGTGGGTCATTATTCAATCCTTCAACCTTATATGTATACATGACTTCGAAAGGTTTACATTTTGTTATGCGATTTACGCTTTTGTTCATCGCCCACTGGACTTCCATTAAAGTTAAATCACAATCATTCTACTCCCTCTGTAGTAGTCGATAAACACCTCAGTGCAACTGCATTTATGACTTCTACCTGCCCATTACTACGTGGACTCTTAGACGCAACCTTCACATGAATTATATTATGCTTACGATAAAACTTTGTAAATACGGCCGCAGCATAGGCGGTCCCTCAGTTGGTCACCATTTGGCTTATCATAATTACATAAGAACTCTTTGAAAACATTTAACGTCTCTAGAGCTGTAGTATCTTTGATTACTCTTATTACAAAATATTTACTGAACCCATCGATAATAACTAAAACATATTTATTGTCCCTTTCCGTCAGAGTGAAGAGACCTAAACGAAAATCACAGATGAGATTACAATAATAATACACGAATAGTGAAATTACCACACTATTAAACATATCTATATTTTTGGTTTTTTTAATATTTAATAAGTAGCTTCAGAGTTGCGTTATAAAAATTATAAAAACGCCAGATTACAAATAAATTTTCTCCTTTATAGTTTGGAAAATATTTGGAATTTTAGCATTAATACAGATCAAATAAAGTAGTTCCGCAGCAAACAGTTTTTATGCATAAAAATCCATTTTTGTCTATCGACATGTGTAGGTCCCTAGTGGCATTTACAACGTGACGAATTTTCTGTTGAATGGCGGTGCTAACCAATTACCCTCACCCTTAAACTGCTACCTCGCCAACAATCAAAACCGGTTATTTTATACTTGGTTATCGACGCATCGGGATACATTAAGCAGTCGCTTATCTAAATTTGAAAAAATATTATTATTATTGACGGGTGATGAGAATTAAATTTTAACGTCACTATGTTAATTTTTAAACGTATATCAGAGGCGTACCCAGGGGGGGGCTTAGCCGGCTTCAGCCCCCTCCACCCATTGACCGTGTTATGGAATACATTTCATATTATAAAAGACAAAGTTCAAATCATGATATTTGTAAAAATGGTATTGAATACAACGTATTATCTTAAGTAACATCGACCTAGTATAAGCCAAGAATAAACGTTATGTATATGATACCGACTACTGATATAATATTATTTGATCGGTATGAACGTAGTAACGAACATTAGGATACGACAACGACTGTTATCTGAGGTGTACGGGCGTACGGTATGACGCATGTGATGAAACCAACAACACTATCACAGTCCTTAGTCCTTACTAAATACTAGCTACTCCTTTTTCTAATTTCTGTACAGTTTTTTGTGAATAATGTCTGAGAAAAGACCTAACGTGTTTTATGTGTTCAATTTTAAGAAAAACAAAGTTGTGTCTGTCGTAAGTATTCAGGGTGATTTTTTTATCATAACCCACTCAATTACTTACAGAATAATAATTAAAAAAATTTTTTTTATTACTATCTTTAGTTACACATTATTCTTGAATTATTAACTATGTAATACTTTTTAAGTTCATCCCTTATGCCTGGTAAGGGTGTCAACTTTGTTTTTAACACGCTTATATTAGTTTCACCTGTATGTATGTATGTTTGTAACTCTCCAAACGCCCCGCGTTATCGCATATTCCGTCGTCTAGACTAGACTGTCATAACGCATTCACCCCTCCCCACGCCTCGCTCATCAGACGACGGTACACTATTCCTATAAAAATTTATTTTTAGTTATCGTACCCGTACACGCGTGCTTGTCATCAATATTATATATATATATATATAAACAAATTTTTATTTTGACTGACCAATACCGCACGCGTCTAATGCGCCTTACGTATATATATTAAATATTCCTACCCCCGTTTATACCACAGGTATAACGTTAGTCCGACCCGCCCGCCCGCAAAATACGGTTATACCTAGTGCATGATACGTTTACGTACTTAAGTCGCTTTACTTGTATATATATATATATTCTAATTACTATTAAAATTTATTTTTTAATACGCTTTATTTTAATTAAGAGATATAAAGTATTCATTCCGATTACGAGGGATGATTTCCGTATCGTCACTACCTCCACGTTCCGGGAGTGAGTAATTTACGCGCCTGCTGCTTTACTTGGATGTGGTAGCCGTTTCTCAACTCCCTCCCCGGAATCGAACCCTGATTTCACGTTACCCGTAACAACCATGATATTGATAGTAACTACTATCATAACATGAAACTAAAAAGTAAAAAATAAATATAGTTTAAAAAAACTAAAAAAATCACGCTTTTAAAGCACATCGAACTAAAAAGTTAAAAATAATTTTTAAAGTAAGTTTAAAATAATTATGAACAAAAAATACTAGTATTATTGTGATAAAAGCGTGGGTGCTTTGTGCCAAATTTTTTGTATATTGAGCGCCTGACGCTTTTTTTCACAATAATACTATTATTTTTCGTTCATTGTTGTTTTAAAATTATTTTAAAAATTATTTTTAACTTTTTAGTTCGATGTGCTTTAAAAGCGTGTTTTTTTAGTTTTTTTAAACTATATTTTTTTAAACGGTAACATNCTTATGCCTTGGAGGGGGGTCAACTTTGTTTTTTTAAATGGTAACACATATTTTTAATTTAATAAAATGTTTGAGTTTTTAATTTAATAGTAAATGACATTTGAATTTTTAATATAACTTAATTCGTTTATTAGATATAATCATTTAAAGTTACAAATTTTTGAGTAAATATACAGGTACAATACACAAGGGATTACAAATACAGGTAGCTAATTGATTTTTTATGACATTGATATTAGCAGGTACACAGCATTCACTATCAATGATAGTAAAGTACATTGTTTTGAGTTTATAAATACACTAACTGACAATACAAAAAATATATCTATTGATAGTCATAATTGATAATAAACAATCCGTGACTGAGACAGCAATGTCATAAAAATCCAATTAGCTACCTGTATTTACAATCCCATGTGTATTATACATGTATATTAACTCAAAATTTTGAAACTTTAAATGTTTATATCTAATAATCTAATAAAGTTATATTAAAAATTCAAATGCCATTTACTATTAAATTAAAAACTCAAACATTTTATTAAATTAAAAATATGTGTTACCATTTAAAAAAACAAAGTTGGCCCCCCTCCAAGGCATAAGGGATGAACTTAAAAAATATTACATAGTTAATAATTCAAGAATAATGTGTAACTAAAGAAAATAATAAAAAAAAAATTTTAAATTATTATTATTCTCTAAGTAATTGAATGGGTAATGATAAAAAAATCACCCTGTATATTAATTATTATAATAAGTAATAACTTTATATGTGGTAGCAAAATATAGATTAGTATAATTATAATTTTTCTAGGATGGTTGCAATAGTATTGAAAAAACAAAGAACATCCTTTTGCCTGATGGTATAGAAGTTGACAATCCTAATTTATTAAAAAATGAGACCGTTAAAAGTACAGTAAGTCATTTTAAATTATTTAATAATTATAGAGTAACAGAGCATTATAATTTAAAATAGTTATATAATGCTTATTGTTGCATTACTAAGGACAATTCATTGGGTGTAAATTTGTATTAAATATTAATTATTGATAAAATCAAAATTAACTATTATTTGCTTTGCTGTCTTTGTAAGTTTTAAATCATAAAAATTGTATATTTATATTATTAGTCTTTATCAATGCCTGTTTTGACTGAAAATGAAATTTACAAGAAAGATATTGCTTGCTTCATAATGGACCAAACGATGAAAAAGTCTGAAATTGTTGATTGTTTAAAACACATTTGTATACCTCCACTTGATTTTAGTTTTCCAGAGAACATAGAAGGCAAACAAAAAAGAATATTTCAGCATAAGTATTTAACACAATATTCTTGGCTAGCTTATAGTAATATACATAAAGGAGCCTATTGTAAATTTTGCGTTTTGTTTGCTTTTTCTGGTGGTGGAGTAGGCAGACAGGTAAATTTATGCTTATGTATTAAACCTATAAACGTAATGATTTTTACTTTACTTGTGAAAATACAACATATTTATTAAACATAATACATAATTTTAGAATTTGGGAAAATTAGTAACTGTACCTATGTTAAAGTTTAAAGATGCTAAGAATGACTTCAACAAACATTCAAAAACTGAATAACATCTTCTTTCTGTTCAAAGTGTTATCGACTTCCTCATCAATTTTAAAAATGGGTGTGAAAAAACACTTGATTTAATCTTTGATTAACATTTACAAGAAACGATTGAGAGCAACAAAAGAAGGCTGATACCAATTGTTAAGACAATATTATTCTGTGCTAGAAATAATTTACCATTGCGTGGTCATCGAGAAACTGGATTTTTATCATTAGAAAGTGTGAGAAGTTCTTGTATAGGTGGTGAACAAGAGTTCTTCGTGAACTTCTGGCTTTTCGGGTCGACAGTGGTGATACAGAACTTCAAATATACTTTGAAACATCCCCTAAAAACTGCACAATGATCAGCCCCAAAGTCCAGAATGAGATAATTGATGTAATTGGTAATAGGAAAAATAGTTGACCGAGTCAAACAATTTCGATTTTTTTCCTTACAGTGATGAAACTACTGATATTAGCACTATTGAACAGATGACAGTATGTATACGATATGTAGATACGTCATCTTGGATACTTAGAGAAGATTTTATAGGATTTGTAAAAATGACTTCAACAACTGGTTTAGCAATTAAAAATGCAATATTACTAATACTTAAAGAAGTTGGTCTTAGATTAGATATCCTGAGAGGACAAGGTTATGATGGAGGAGCAAAAATGTCTGGTAAATATAATTGTATACAAAGTCTAATTTTAAATGAGCAATTATTAGCATTCTTCGCGCATTGTTTTAGTCACTCTTTGAACCTTTGCTTATCCAAGGCTTGTAATGTTTCCTCAATCAAAAATATAATGGGAATTGTATCAAGTATTGCTGCTTTTTTTTCTGCTTCAGCTAAGAGAGCTGATAAATTGAAATCAGTTATTTTAGGCGATAACAATAATTCACAAAAAAACCCAGCACAAGGGGGTCGCAGCACAGTGGTGACGTGGCATAGTTGGATCAAGTATAATGATATCTGACAGTGATTAAAATCACTATCAAAAAAAAAACGCTTCCATGCAAATCTTTAGATAGTGTTTAATTTTAAAAAAAAGGTGGATTTTTCCAAAATCTACATGATCTGCTAGTTCCTTATTAATATCCTGATTAAGATATAGTAAGTCGAATAAAAAAGAAATTATAAAAAAATATTATTTCTCATGAAAATATTGTGTTGATCCATACACTTTTCAATAAATTATAGCATTATAAAATTAAAAATGTAAAAAATAAAATCGAGAATTTTCACACAAAAATAGCATTTAATAGCCATTTTCACTGTGAAGACAAAAGAAAGTCCGAAATTTTTTTTTTCATAATAAAGTACATTACATTATCTTTAATTTAAGATATATATTAAAGTGTCAGACCTTCCGGAACACTTTCAAATGTTAAGTTGAAAAAGTTAATTATTTGTGAAATATTTGTTATTTTAAATCCCCCCCTGTGGGCAGGTAAATGGTTAAATTTATGAAAATACTATACCAAATGATAGGTAAAGACATCAAGCATCTATAAAAAAGTTATGGCAGTTTTTAGTACAAAAAATTGAAAAAAAATTTCGAAAATTAGCGATTTTTAAATTTGTAATTTTTTTGGAAGAACGAGGAACATTTGCGTGGAACGAGGGAAATTTTTAAAATTTTTAAGGGTAATATCTTCGACTAGATACGATTTGTGATCTTTTGACGTATCGTTGAAAGAAATCCGTTCGGTAAGAGCTGAAAAAAAACACATCATAGTAAAACCAATACCTTCTCAACTTCGCATTGAAGCTAAAAAAAGAAAAATTGAAAACACTATGCGAGACACGTTGGATCGAGCGTCATGACGCATTGAATACATTTAAACAATTGTATGTTTATATAGTGCATGCTCTTGAAGATATTTCACATGATCCTAATCCTAATAGCTCATGCAAAGCTGCATTATATTTAAATTCAGTGACAAAAATTGATTTTATCGTCGCACTTGAAGTTACAGTAACTTGTTTTGCCTACACTTTGCAACTCAGTTGGTTATTCTACAGAGTAACCAACAAGATATTTCTAAGGCATTATCTGACGTCATGGTTATTCGCAGTGCACTAGAAGAACTTCGAGAAGGTGCAGATGGACACTTCAAACAAATTTTTAAGGATGTTTCAGATATTGCAAATTTAGCAAATGTAGAAATATGCATGCCTTGGATATGTGGTAGGCAAACACAAAGAATAAAAATAAATTCAAAGGATCTAGAGACATACTTCAAAGTATCAGTGTTTTTTCCTTTTCTTGATTTCATACTTCAAGAATTGGATGCACGATTTAATCAACGGCTAAGTGATATAATACCTTTATAGGGACTTATTCTATCACATTTTAGTATGTACGACGATGCAACTATTTTGAAGGCGGCTTCTATCTATGCTCAAGATCTTACAACTGATGATAATTCTATTCTTAAAGCAGAATTGCGCATTTGGAGACATTAATGGAGAAATAAGCAAATTAAACCAGATTCGGCTATTGATACGTTAGCCCATTGCACAGTTGTCGTACCAAACTACTTAGTGAGGATGAAATAATTAAATTATTTTCCAAAAAGGCACCTAGAAGGATACAATTAGAAGAGTGGAGAAAATAAAGTAAAAAATAAAATATGTATTTTGAAGTTATATAAAATAAAATAATTTATAATTTATCGTATAACATATTTTGTATAATAAATCAGTCCCTACTGGCTACTTCCTACTATTATCACTAATATATTATGTATGTGTCATAAAAAGTGTATAATAATGAAATATTACAATTAACTGCTTTAAAACTTTATTGAAAATAGTTTGTTAAGATGTCAAATTTTGCTTTACTTTGTTTAGCCCCCCCTCATTCAAAAATCCTGGGTACGCCACTGACGTAAATTATAATTAAAATATAATGATCATCTATCAATTGATTGGAAATCTGTGAGAAATTTACGTGGAGTTTTATTTTGAAACATTAGAAAACATCTTTACAAACATACTTGCACGAATATGAGTCCACAGCATACTTTATATTTGTGGGAAGCAGGACGGATCAACCGTTCTTTTAGTAACAAAAATTTTTAATTTAAATTAGATATTCTTTCTCCAAAAATTATTTGTCAAAATATAAATGTCATCATGAAAAATTTGAATATGAATTTAAAGTTTACTGGTCCTAAATTTATTTATACGTAGTATATTGTATCACTTAATATCATTTTTTGTGAGTTTTCAAACTCGTGTGTGATCAAAAATTCTAAATTGTTTAGTGCATAATTAGTAATCTCTACATACATTAAATGTCATAGGATTAATTGCGAGTATTACAAATATGTGTAACACGAATAATAGGCCTTAGCGTTATAAAACAGCATTTTACAAATTTCTGATTGACTATCAATATATTTATGATGCTTACTCTTTATGTGGTAAACTGGGTGTTCCAAGTCCAATTTGACCCTGCGGATATGTATTATCAGGAATAGTCAAAATAATAACTAATTATAATGTAACATTCACTGATTGAACACTGAACAACGAGAAGATGGTCAAGTCCCCTTTTAAATTTACATTGTTCATTAAAATAATACCATAACATTTTCTAGTGTTATAATTAAAGTATTTGACAAAAAGTATACTTCTACTTTCTAGTAATTATGATGTTACATATAAATTCCTTAAAACTAATATTTATAAAATAATTATGGGTTCAAACACTTACATAATACACTTATTATATGTATGTATTGAGTGCGTGTACACACTATAGTTTACTAAGTTTCTAATAAAATAAAAAATAATGGTAGCACAATGGGGTCGCGGCACAGTGTGGACGAGGCATAGATGGGACAAGTATAGATGCTAACTGACAGTGATTAAAATCACTATCATTAGAAACGCTTCGATGCAAATCTGTAGATAGTGTTTAATTTTAAGAGATTGGTAGATTATTTCAAAAGCAACCATAACTCTTATTCCCTTAATTTTATCCCGATTTATAATTATAATATATGAATACATAATAATTATAGTAATTAAATTTAGTATGAAATTGATATTCAATAATATAATATTGTAATTTTTACGGAGATATTATAAAAATATTAAAGAGTTGTATATTCATATACTTTTAACGCGTATAAAAATTTAAAGGGATTGATGCAATACCTTTTAATAAAAAAATTTTGTTACTTATGAATAAATACACTAGACTACAAGGAACTTTCATCAGAAACAAAATATACTTTTCTAAATCTACTTTTCGCAATATTTTCAAATATGCAATTAAACTTAAAATAAAAAAAAAATAATTAAGAACAAAAAAAAATTCTTTAACTTTGATGTCCGTTTTCACCACGAAGACAAGTCCAGAGGTCAAATTTCTTTTTTTCAAAATAAAATAAATAAAAAATTAAATAATGTAATATACTTTATACTTTATTAAAGTATATTACATAAGTTTTAATTTAAGGTATATATAAAAGTGTCAGTCTTTCCGGAACATTTTCAAAAGTTAATTTTTTGTAAAAAAGTTACCATTTTGAAACCCCTCCTGTGGGCTGGAAAGGGTCAAATGTTCACAAAAATATATAAAATGATAGGTAAATACCTAAGGTGTCATTAAAAAAAAATTATATTGATTCGGTCATTTTTAAAAAAGTTGTGACAATTTTAAGTAAAAAAATGCCAAAAATTAGCGGTTTTTAAATTTATAATTTTTTGGGGGATTTTCATTGTTTACGGGAAATGTGGGAATTTTTTTCTAATTTTGCGGGTAATGTCTTTGACTAGATACGATTTGTGATCTTTTAACATATTTTTCATAAAAATTGATCCAGCGAGAGCTGAGATTGAGCGTATACTCAAAAAAAAAAAAAAAAAACCCATTATAATAAAATTAATACCTTCTCAGCTTCGCATCGAAGCTAAAATACAAAATCGAAAATTTTAGCACAAAAATAGCATACGGTAGCCATTTTTACCATGAAGACAAAATAAAGTACGACATTTTTTTTCATTATAATAAAGTATAATACACAAGCTTTAATTTAAGATATATATAAAAATGTCAGTATTTCCCAAAAATTTTCAAAAGTTAAGTTGAAAAAGTTATCTTTTTCAATAAAATATATTTTTTTGTTTAGAATTGACTAATAAACAATTTTTGTAGAAACTTTTTTTTTTATTTTATTTATAAATAATATAATAAATAGGGATATAATCATAGATAAAAAATTATTTTTATATATGTTACTCAAAAAACTGAGAACAAAAAAAAAATTTAACTCAATGAAATAAATACCAAAAATTCTATTTAATATTTTCAGGTAACAATAATGCTCATTTTCACAAAGAAAATGTTTATAAAACTAGTTATAAACAATTAGTTAACAGAAGCTTTTAAAGCCTGATCGAGGTCAGCTATTAAATCTTGTTCAGATTCTAGTCCCACAGAGAGTCGAATTAAATTATCAGTTATGCCTAAAAAAGCTCGTTCATTTTCTGGTACTGAAGCATGCGTCATCAAAGCACTAGAAATTTATAAAAACATTATATTAAATCAATAAATTGTCTAATAGTGTTATATATATTTAAAATAATATACCCAAACTTTTTAATGGAGGAAGAGGCCTAAGAGTATATACATAAATAGTTTTTGATGGTTTATTTTTGCATTAATTTTATTTAAATTTAAAATATGGACGGGGGGCTTAGCTATTTTAATCTTCCTTGTATATGTTAATGTATATTTATAAACAAGAACATATTTGGAAATTCAAATGGGGCGTACATAAATAATATTTTTCAATTAACAAACAATCATGAAACATTTTTTTACAAGTTTTGTTCTGATATTTAATAAAAAAAATGTCATCCAACATTTTTATATCAACATTGCACTATCAATAGTGACGCACGTGCTCCTATAATCCTTCTGAATACGTCTTTTTTTATATATATAACAAAACTAGTACAACACAACAAATTATGATAGCTTTAAATACTAACGGATGGTCAGCAAGACTTTCGTAGCCACCTAGACTCTCTGCTAAACAAAATATTTTGATAGATTGTAAAAATTTGGTGGCCTCTTTTAAGCCTCCCTTAATGTAAAATGAAACCATTCCACTAAAACCACTAAACTGTCGGAGGGCTATATTATGTTGTGGATGTGAGGGCAATCCAGGATGTAAGGTTTTCTCAACAAGTGGATGCTGTTCCAAAAATTGAGCTACAGCTAATCCGTTTTTTTGATGCTCCTTCATACGCACGTGGAGAGTTTTAAGACCACGATTGACTAGAAAACAGTCAAAAGGTGAAGGTATGATACCTAATGCTACAATTACAATGAAATTTAATCAAAATTAAAATACTTTCAAAAATAATTTTGTAAATTTTTTACATACAATTTTGATTAAAAGCAAGATCTTCGTAAAGGTCTGATCTATTTGTTACTACAGCACCCATTATGACATCTGAATGACCATTCAAGTATTTGCTGCATGAATATAATACTAAATCTGCACCCAGTGTCAATGGTTTCTATAAACAATAAAACTACGAGATAAGAGACTAAAAAAATGAATAATTCGCAAAAACTGTATACTTAAAAATTGAATACACGAATATTTAAATTAGTAAAAAAAATTAGGTCTTATAATTAAAACGATAAAAAATAACTTACTTGAAAATACGAAGTCAAAAATGTATTGTCCACTAATATTATTATATCTTTTCGTATTTTATGTATTAAATTCGAAATTTTTTCTAAATCTATCACCCTCAAGCATGGGTTTGTAGGACTCTCCATCCATACCAACTAAAATAATGGATATTGTAATCATTTTATTTCATAAAAAAAATAATTTTTAAAAATTGTAGGAATAAATATTTATTAAAAAAATAAAAGAATTATTACACAAAATAATATTATTAAAGAGTATTTATAGAAATGTTTGTCATGACACGTTACCGTGTTCCCCTTACGTTGGGCTGAAACAACTTAAATGAGTGTATTGGGATCTGAATCATAAGTGCACGGTGGCCTAGTGGTAAGTTGTCCCTACGACACCTTGGGTCGCAGGTTCTAATACCGGTCGTGTTAGTCATAAAGGGTGCATTTAAAAACATGTATTGCTTGTATTGTGGGCATAGGTGCTTTAGGTTTAATTTTTGCAAACATTTCATATAAAAAAGGGATAAAAACAACAATATTTGTATTATTTAACTAAATCTTTATATATATATATACTTTTGATTATAAAAAATATATTCATTTATAATTTATTTCGATAAATGTGCGTAAAATATTAAAATAAATTTATTAAAATGAATGTTTTAAAATAAAAGCTTAGAGAAGTAAGTTAACAACATTATGATGTTATCACTATACTGGGATCAATACTTGTTACACTATTTTTAAATAGACTGTTCTTTAAAATAAACAACAGTAATAACAGGTCTTACACACTTCTTAATGTAAACAAAAATTGTTAGCCATTTTGTTGTAGGTAATGTTATCATTTTTACTGAAATAATACATATAGGGGGATACGAACAAATATTCAGCTTTAGGAGATAAATTTTTATAAAGCACGAAGATGTTGAAAAGCTTTCACGATTAGCAGTCATATAATATAATCAAACTAAATTCAGAGTATTTTTCACAAATAACTCAATCACTTGTTTCACCTTTAAGTGCATAGGTTACACAGCGTCCTCCTGCAAAAAAGATCACACAACAAACAGTCTAACACCCCCAATACAAAATACTGAAAAACTATTACAAAAAGAACAAACTATGCTAGAAGACATAGACAGGAGAGCTCCCTTGATAAAGAATCGGCAAATATGGTTGAATGGAACTCAGAAATATCGAAAATCTCGACCAACAGCTTATAAGTTATTAAATCAACACACCCAAATACTATAGAAGAAACCACAAACAACATTGAATATGAGTCTCCCACTCAGAAAAACTCTCTGACGTCACCTAAACGGCTTCTAAATGACCGAAATCAAATACCAATATTAGAAATCTCATCACAAACTTAGTCAATAGCAAAGAGCATAGAAAGTAGTAACTCAAAACTATATAAGAAAAGAAAAATAACATTTTTTTTTTCACATCATCATTCCATTTTGTACCTTAGTACCGTGCCCACGTAAATCGCTAATTAGCATCAAAACTGTTATTAGTTAATTTAAGCTTAGTGTAGTTCAGTTCATAAATATTTAAATAAACTAAATTCCTAAATGCGAATGTCAAGTGTTAGTGAACCGCCAGTACCGTTATATGGGCTAGCCCGTTTATCGCTGCCACCTCAACCTCAGAATCAAACCAGGTAATAATGACCCAGGCTTCTAGCATTGGTTAGTTTATTTTATAATTAGATTAAATTAGTTTTATAAGTTAGTGTTTAAGTTTAATATAAGTATTAGTTTTAATCCAGTCCCATGACCAGATCCAAAAAGGGCCTTAAAAGGCCCAACATCCCCTCATCCTCCTCTACTGAAACTAATATTCGATAAAATTTCATACGTTCTCTTTCCCAGAAGACCGAAAACTGAAGGTTGTAATCAAAGGGATACCTACAGAAATTACAAACAAAGAAATCATCAACTGCTCAATACAATAGTAACGTATTTAGTTTATCAATAGCTAGCCGTCGTATTAATTTCATCGTGTTTATATTATTAAAAAATATTCGTAATTTAATGAAATTTTTATTATGTGTACATAATTTTTAAATTAATTGCTCAAAGTGTCGTCAATCAACTTCGATACAAGTATCTAATCGTCGCTGTAATGATTCCCAAACTCGATCTAACATTTCTGGTCTTTCCCTTATTTTGTTTGCTGCACTATTTATTCTTTCTAGTTTGAATTTTCAACTGCGTAGACGACCTCTTTTAAAAAACCCCATAAAAAATAATCGCATGGCGTTAAGTCTGGGCTACGAACAGGCCAAATAATATCTGGTCTATGAACTGCATTCATTCCGGCCTGCCTCCCGATAATTCGTCCGTTAAATAAATAATTCGTTTATTTTCGAACATTATTAGTATGGTGAACAAGTGCACCATCATGCATAAACCACATTCTCTACTGAACATCACTAGGGACATTCTTTAATAGTACTGTTAAGTTGTACATTATAAAATTTAAATATTCTTTGCCATTTAGTTTGTCTGGCAACACATGGAGGCCAACCAAAATACGACCTACAAGGCCACACCAAATATTTACACTGAACCGATACTGTGATCTATTACGGTGAATTACATTAGGATTATTATCCGACCAAAAATGATGATTGTGACTCACATTAAAAATGTTTTACAATACAGGCTATTTGTTTACTATAGGTTATTCGTTTTTACTGCAATTTATGCATTTTTATTGCATAAAAAAGAAGCTATATTTTAAAAATAATCTAATATTTTTTGCAACTTAATTAGTGACTATTCAATAGTGAACAGTATTTTTCGAACATTTAAATAAATATTAACAAGCTCAGTGATGTACCATATTCTCATTAGTGATTAATTTCGGGAAAGAGTAGTGTACCGATTACATCAAAATAATTATTTCTAATTATCCTATTGTAATAAAGTTTAAAATATTCATTTCAATCTTGTGATTGTTTTATTTTTCTGATCTAAAAAGAAAAAAAATGATAATTTTATAACAGTTTTAATGATAAAAATTATAATCGGTTTGAATAAATAAGAAAAGACGAAATAAACTCGTGAAATTAAAAAAAGATCACAATATCTGTGGGGTTTTCCAGTTTTTCTCGTTATGTAATCGTTTAAACTAAAAATAAACTGCATCACAGAACTTTCAGTAAAATTTCAATACAAATTGATGGGTCACACTAAAGTGAAAATTTTTTCCAACTTTGAACCCAAAGTTCAGGGGAAGGCACGAAAGTTACAAAAAATCGAGTGACCGCTCAATTTGTATGAGAATTTCGTGGAAAATACCGTTGTGATGTTTATTTTTTATTAAAATAAAATTTAAAGTGGGGGAGCGGGAAAACCCACAATTTTGGAAATAGGAAATTTTAGTTTTCGATTTCGCTATTTTTAGGTCCTACTGAATATCATCCTACTACTCGTGACATTTACTATCACCCTGTATATATTACTTTTTTCTGTGCGTGTTTACACAATAGAGGTAAAAAACCCCTATTAATAAAAGAATTATATTTACAATGTACATATGATACAGACTTCAACTCATGCTTTCATCAATAACTATAGAAGTCCATAAATTTTATTATTTATTAATTGGGTCATAAAATAGACCAAACAATTATTAGCTAAAATTTTAACCATAATGTAACTTATCTTAATAATGTTTTATCGAGTCATTCAGATATTAACTTTCTATTAGTGGTTCTGTATTTCTGTATTTCCTCCGAGCATCATTTATTACCTATTACCATATTTTACTATATTCATTTTCTTATTGTATATTAAATTTACAAGCTATATCAGTTTATATTTTATTCAGTAATTAAAATATATACTTATGTTATTAACAAAAAAATGACTATAACTTAAGAATTGATCCTTAATAATAAACTTAAATTTAAAAAACCCAGCACAGTGAGATGGCGGCACAGTGGGGACGTGGCATAGTTGGGTCCAGTATAGATGATATCTAACAGTGATTAAAATCACTATCATAAAAAACGCTTCGATGCAAATCTGTAGATAGTGTTTAATTAAAAAAAAAAATTTGTCAAAAAAGTAGGTCAAGTGAGAGCTGAGAAAATAAATGATAGCTACAAAAAATAACAACATCGTAAAATAATATTTATAATGAATTTCTTCTCACGAGAGGAGACTACAGTAATGGTATCCATGATATTTATTGAAGTTATTGAATCTAAATGAGATAAAAATCAAATGAGTTAAACATTTTTTTCTAACTCAAAAAGAATTAAGAATAAATTCAGTGCCACAGGCATGAAAGACCCAAGCGTTACCGTCTCAGAAACCGTACGTCTCATTCGTCACTTAATAGAAATGGAAATTTAGCTAGTTCAAATTTGAAAGTTATTTTTCTCGACTTCAAAGAAACAAAAAAATTTAAATATGTTTAATTTTTTATACTATGTCAATTAGATTGATATAATACTTATGAAAATCTGTGTAATCCCCATATAATAAAATAAAATAAAAAACCAAGAATTTTAACACAAAAATAGCATATTTTGAAATATGGTAGCTATTTTCACCATGAAGAAAAAATAAAGTCCAAAATTTTTTTTTATATCAAAGTATATTACATAAGCTTTAATTTAAGATATATATAAAAGTGTAAGTATTTCTGGAACACTTTCAAAAATTAAGTTGAAAAAGTTCTACTTTCTATATGCATTTTTATGTTTTGAAACCCCCTGTATTAAGAGAAATGGTCCGATTTAAAAAAAAAGTATGTCGAATGAAAGAAGTACATAAATATTATTTTTTATAAAAAAATTGTATTGATCCATACATTTTTCAAAAAGTTATAACTAGAGGTCGGAATAATATTCTTTTAAAATAGTCAAAATAAGATGCTAATATTCTCCTAAAAAATTGAAAATATTCTTCTAATATTCTTTAAAAATTTTCGTTAAATATTCAAAATATATGCATATACAAGATAATATTCTCCGAAATTGAAAATATTCTTTTATTACAAAAAAATCTTAACCTAACATTTAATCTGATATTTCAAAATTAATTAATGTGGTACAATTCTACCTATTAACTGAAATACTTTTTTCTTATATTCAAATAAACAATACATTACATTATATA